CCCAAGCACAAGGACCTGAGTTCGATCCCTGGTTCAAAAAAAAAAAAAAAAAGTGCTACATTGGGCCAGGGATTTAGCTTAGTGGTGCTGCAGCCTGACTCGTAAGCACAGGGTCCTGAGTTCGATCCCTGGTCCCCCGCCCCCAAGTGCTACATTGCTTTATCAGTGGGCTTCCAAATTAGCATACATCCTCCACTCCTTCTCTCCTGTGTACAGGTAGTTTCATCAGAGCTGTGATTCACTACCCTGCTGAAAATTAGACAACCCCAGGAAGCTTTTATAGAAACACCATCCCAGAAAATTGAATCTCTGAGTGTGGCTTCCACATAAACTTTTTTTTAGAAGCTCCTCAGATGATTCTGATGGCACAAAGAAGGCTGAGAATCACTAGATTAATGGCTTTTCTTAGCAGTTCTCAAATCTCATTATAAGAGAGAATTTGGGAAAAAACTACACATAGCCAACTTCAGCTCAGAGCCATATAGTCTCTCTTTCCTCTTGGGCTGGTTTTGCCTATAGGGAGAATACATTTCGGTCGGCTACTCTGAAGAGTGTCTGGGGTTATCAAGTTGCCAGCTTCTACTGAATCAGGGATAGACCGGAAGGACTCTTAGCTCTGTCTGACTCATTGTCTAAGAGGTTACCAGACTTGGAGAAAAGAATGCCATTTAGAGCCAGGCATGGTGGCTCACGCCTGTGATCTCAGCACTTGGAAGGCTGAGGCAGGAGGATTGCTGTAATTAAGACCAACTTGGACTACATAATGAGACCCTGTCTCAAAAAAAGAAAAAAAGGGATGGGGTGGGGTTGAGATTAGCTCTGTGCAAAGGCCCTGGGTTCAATCCCCAGTACTGGGGTTGGGGAGGATTGAGTGCAGAAGCAAGGTTTTTTTCCTTCTTGTTTTCCTTTTGAGACAGATCTTGTTGTGTAGCCCAGGGTAGCCTCAAACTTGTGATCCTCCTTGATGAACCTCCCAAGTGCTAGGATTACAGATGTGCGCCAACACACGTGGCTAAGAGGCAAGATTCTTTTAATTCTCTCTGTTGGCAAGGTGAGAATCATGGTCTCCTAACTCACAGTTTAGTGTTCTTATACTACTCTTAAGTTGAGTAAAAAAAGTGACTTTACATCCACTGCTGATGTGAATGAAGCCAACTCAGATAAACATTTTCTGATGGAATGTGTAGTTTGTGAGTGTGACATTATTCTCAACAGACTTTCATATCACTCAGCCTAACATTGTTTATTCACAAGACAAAAATGAATTTAAGAAATATCACACTAATTTTCACATGGCTGTTTCATTCTCAGCTTCCAATACTGTGAGATTTTGGAAAACTCCAGCTGGATTTTCAGGACTTCAGTCTTCTAATGTATAAGTTGGAGAGGAGGGAGTTAGATCATCACAGTTTCCAGCTGAAATTTTGTATGTAACTTTGACTTCATAATAAGGATGAAGTTAGCCACTCCAAAGATGTGGGCATATATTGATGGAACTTGTGTTTCCATGCTGTTAGGTTCACAGTAAGTAGTCAATAGTAATTGTTTATTCAGTTGAGACTTTTTTTTTCTGTATGGGGATCGAACTCAGGACCTTGTACTTTCGAGGCAGATGTGGTACCACTAAGGTAAATCCCCCGCCAAGTTTAAATTTTGCTTTTTTGTTGGGTTTTTTTGGTACTGAGGATTGAACTCAGGACCTTGTGCTTGCAGGGTGCGGAACCACTGAGCTAAATCCCCAGCTATTCTGTGAACTTCAGCATACATTTTCAGCTTAGCAGTTGACCTAAACTTTTGAATGGAACTAAGAACTTTTAGTATTTCAAGGATAAGTTGCTAAATTTTTCAAGTAATTTTTCCTGTTTGTAAAATGGAGATACTACTTACCTGGTAGGGTTGTTTTGAACCTCAAATAAGATGATGTATTTGAAAGATTAATTGTTTTTTTAATTTTTGGTTTTTTGAGACAGAGTCTTATTCTGTAGTTCAGACTTGCCTTGAACTCACTGTGGCCCAGGCTGGCCTCACATTTGCAGTGATCCTCCTGCCTCAGCCTCCTGAGTGCTGGGATTATAGGTGCACACCATCATGTCCAGCTGCATTTGAAATGTTTAGAATAATACCTGACAAATAGGAAAATTACACAAATGCCTGTAACAGTTGCCATCTATGTAGTATCTGTATTGTTCATATATGTCATTTTAAGTGGCAGCTAAATATTACATCCTGACCCTTCCTCAGTTGTGTGTTGCTATGTAGGCCATTTCACATTTCCACAAATATTGATAGAACCAATAATAATGTAGAGATCCCAGATAGGACCACTAGGTTACACAGGTGTGTGCCTAGTATTACATGATTATTTGAAAGAAGAGATACTATTTATGTGTGATTGAGAGTTGTGGATTTGTAGTGTGACATTGCCAGAGATTCCTTAAGATCAATTTTGGTACAGTATTAGATGCCATTCCAGGAGCAACAATGGCTTAATCACTGTAACAGTACCATTGTAAAAGTACATAGTACATTTGGCGATTAGCCAAGCTGGCTTTGCATTTACAGAAAATTCCTGCTGACAGGCAGGAATTGTCTTTACACATACACTTTCTGATGTTTTTATGTAACTGGGTTATTGCTGCTTTTCCTCCCTTGAGTAGGAGTGGTAGGTGAGATGTTAGAATTGTACTTACAAATACAGTTAGTAAGGAAACAATACGTATTTTATGCAGAAAGCATACTGAAATGAGAATTCTCCAGAAGGATATTCTTGGCAGAAATGTAATGCCCAGTCGCTTAAGCTGCTCCTTTTGTAGTGAGATCATACAACCCTGGTTGATGTAAAATAAGGACATTTGTGCTGTATCTCTCCCTCTCTCTCTCACACATACAGTATTGGGAATTAAATCCAGGGTCTCACAAATGCTCACCCCCAACTCTTTTTGAGACAGAGTTTTACTAACTTGCCCAGGTTGACCTCAAATTCATGATCCTCCTGCCTCAGCTTCCTGAGTAGTCGGAATTACAGGTGTGCAGCACACCTGCTGTTTTTACTAGTTTTTAAGGGATCATACTGGGTTCTGTTTTTGTTTAAAGCCAAATAGAAGTCAAATTTTGGAAAATAATAGCAGTTTGTTCCTTCCCATTTCTTTGTTGACATATGAAACCTTATCAGTTTCAAAGCAGTCACTACTTCCACCCCACACTAATCCTTTTGGTTTATTTTTTTGCAGGAGGTGTATCGAATTCCAAAGAAAAGTCAAACTGAAAAGGAGAGCACAGGTAAGTATTCAGCATTATTCTATGGAAATGGCTTTATGAATATTCTTTTTGTATATGCAGAGGTGATCGATAAGAACTTTAGCTTTCGGTTCTTGAAAGCATACAATATATAATTAGATAAATTAAACATTTTGTGTAAAAGTTTGGAAAGTTGCACTGTTTTTGGGGGGGTACTGGGGATTGAACTTGAGTCCTTGCGCTTGCACAGCAGGTGGCGAAACTACTGGGGTAAATCCCTGGCCCCGAAAGTTGCACTTTTTAAAAAATAAATTTTATCCCTTTCCCCACCTCAATCCCCCTCCCCTCCTTATGTACAAAGGCTTTGTGGAAAGTTGCACTTTTCTTCTTTTGTAATGATTTTTTGCCAAAGGAGAGGTCCCTTAACTACTTGTGTTGATCCTTTCCTTGAAGTCATGGTCTTCAGGAGCTTCCCATCCATTCATTTGTTCCTCAAGAGTAGACATGGTTAATTCTGTACTCCCAGAGGTCTGTGAAAGAATATTTACTTCTAATATTTATGCAAAAGCCTATGTATATATTTACTTTTCTGGGGAAAGTTTAAAACTTGTACCAGATTTTCAGGACAACAGTGATCCCTGAAAAGGCTAAAAAAATCATTGTTACAGAACAGAAACAGGGAATCCATGGTTTCTGGGCTTTACAGTTAGTTATGTTTCAAAGGAGTTTTTGTTTTAGGAATTAAAGCAGTGAACTCAGTTATAGTGGCAGTCATTGGTTTCTTGAAGTCCTCCAGCATTGAGCCAGTATAGAATGAAGAATCCAGTTTGTAGGATTTTTTTTTTTTTTTTTTAGTCTTTTACCTTATTTTTGGTGTGTATAGCCATAATTTTAAAAAGTCTTGGGCTGGGGATTTAGCTCAGTGGTTTCACCGCCTGCTGTGCAAGCACAAGGACCCGAGTTCGATCCCCAGTACCCAAAAAAAAAAAAAATTAAAAAAAAAAAAAGTCTTATTATTAAGGACCTGTGAGAGATCTTTTGCACCGTTACTGTGTCTTTGGCACATTTTTAAATTCTACTGGTTTAATCTCTTCATAACCAGACATCAGTCAGGAGTGCAGAGAACTCTTTCTATAAGAAAGAGAGCAACGGGCCAGGGATGTAGCTCAGTGGGACCGTGCCTGCCTGGCAAGCGCAAGGTCCTGAGTTCTATTTCCAGTACTGAAAAAAATAAAAAAAGAAGCCAACACTGGGCAGTATTGGTTGGCAAAAATGTGGCACCACTGTGGAGTTGATTATCTGAGGCTAACTGCCTGAGCTCACTTAGTTGAAACCATTAGTAACGTAGACAAAGCTTAAATATCCATGAAAGTTTTCCTGCAATATTTTGCAAGTATTTAGTCTGTTGTTGAATTCCAGGGGATACAGAAAATGGTATTTAATGGACAACTATGATCTTTTTAGGGAGCAGCTTTTTATGTGGCATCTTCAGTGTCTTCTTCACATATGGAACCCCCATCTCAGTTTCTGACTTTTAGAACAAGGAAGTTGTTATTAGTGGGTTGGTTTTTTTTTTTTGGCACCGGGGATCGAACTCGGGTCCTTGCACTTGCACAGCAGACAGCGAAACCACTGAGCTAAATCCCTGGCCCAACAAGGAAGTTGTTATAATGCAAGCCTGTATTCACTCTTCTGTGTCAAGAAATGAAAGCTTAGAACCTTTAAAATTTGAATGAACTAGGAAATACATAGTCTAGCTGTACCTCTGTTTTATAATATGAGAAAATTAGCCCAAATAAATGGAATAACTTCCCTGCCTCACATATTCTAAGGTACAGAGTTAGAATGTGAACTGTTGATGTGAGTCCTTTTTTTTGTTTTACTATGTATAGTGGAAAAATAGGTGCACTTGAAGAAAATTTACACCAGGGCGAGAAACATGACTTTGAAGGAGGAAACAATAGTCCTGAGCACTTCATAGGAAGACATAGTGCTAGTACCTTGTGAACTGGACCAGTTAATTGTACAGCATTTTATATCAGCATGTGATGCAAATTCTGTTAGCCTCCCCACTGTCAGATGCTTATACATGGGGTTTTTGGCTAAAAGAAGTGGAAGAATGGCTTGTGCAAATCTCATCCTGCAGTGAGGACTGATAGCATGTTTTTATGATGTGACAAGAAGAAAAAAACCCATCATGTTTATTGAGAATCTGCTTTGTGCTAAGAGTAATATTTTATGAGAAAGTCTTTCTTTAATAGTGCAAGCCTAGCATAGTGGTGCACACCTGTAATCTCAGCACTGAGGAAACTGAGGCAAGGAGGATCAAGGCTAGCCTCAGCTACATAGTGAGACCCTGTTTCCAACTAAGAAAAAGGAGGGAGAGACTAACATGCAAAGCAAAAGCATATATTACCAATCAATTTATATTGAAGTGTTTAATAGCGACTGAAATGTTCAGTGGGGAGATGACTTAGGAAGGTGAGAAACCATTTAGTAAGCATGATTAGTGAAGAGCAGTATTCAGGTCAGCTTTGGGGAAAAAATGGCAATGGAATTTTGGTTAAGTGAAGATAGAATAAGAACCATTCTCAGTAAAGAGAAACAGTGAAGAAGGCTAGTAACACCATCTTTTAATAGGAAGTTGTTATTCTTTTCTTTGGAGATGTATCTCCCTGCCTAGCCCTGATAACTTCCAAAGTTAATATCTGTGTTTGAAATACTTTTCCTTTTTAGTTGTAGTTCATAAAAAATTGTTTAATCGTTTTTTTTTTTAATTAAGGAAATGTTTCTAATTGATGTTTTTATGCTTAGCATGTCAGGCTTTTCTACCCATTGAAATACGGAGTTACAGGTCCAGTTGAAGGTTTTCTATATTTTGAACTGACGAACAGATTGCCTTGCCAAAGGTAAAAGGAACATCTTGTGTGCACTGACGGTATTTGTTAGAAGTGCTGAAGACTTAGTCTGAGTCTTTGATGGGGAAAAGAGAAGGGCACTTGTGGAAGAGAGTTTAAGTCAGTAAAGTGAATACATAAGATTTGAGTCTCATTCATATTTGGACAAGATTGCTGAAGGAAGGGTCCATAGGTCCATTTGTTGGATAGAAGTTTAATCACATACTTGATTTACTGTTATAGTGGAGAGGAGTCTACCAAATAAAGTTTTCAAAATATTTTTCCCTTAGTAACTGAGCGAGGAAGAGATGCTGTTGGACTCAGAGATCAAACAGCTGCCCCAAAGACTCCTAACAGGTCAAGAGAGAGAGATCTAGATAAGCAGACTCAGAGTAAAGAGAAAAGGAAACGAAGGGGCTCCCTCTCACCACCTTCTTCTGCCTATGAGCGGGGAACAAAAAGGTCAGATGACAGGTAAGTGATTGTGTTTTCTTTTTGGGGGCCAAGTCAGAAAGTATCCAAGCCAGCAGATGTGGTGACTTGTAATCCTAGCACTCTAGGAGGTTGAGACAGGAGAATTGCAAGGTCAAGGCAAATCTGGGCAACTTAGAGACTTAGACTGTCTAAAAAGTTAGAAGGACTAGAAACGTTGCTCAGTGTGAAGGCCCTAGGTTCAGTCCCCAGTACTGCCACAAAAACAAAAACTAAAAACGGTGCCCAAGTGTCATGCAGTTTGCTCTGAGTCTACTTCTGACTTTGGATACCAGTGACTTTTGGAATTAGTATTATGTCTTGATGAGTGATAAATCTTAAAGGTTCTCAATCTCATTTGGATAGTTTCTATTTGATAATATATAAGTACTATTTAGGGAACCAAAGATTTATTCTTTAAAGTGCAATGGAGATTGATGGGAGATAACTCTTCAAAAGTAATGGTGTCAAAAGGCTGAGGCAGGAAGATTGCAAATTTGAGGCCAGCCTGGGCAATTTAGGGAGACCTTGGCTTTAAAAAATTTAAAAATTTGGGGATGTAGAGCACCCCTCCATTCAGTCCTCAGCACCTTCCCCCAAAGTAATAATAATTCTTCCAAAGTCAGAACTTTAAAGGTGATGGTCTGCACTTGTAATCCCAGGTACCCTGAAGGCTGAGGCGAGAGGATCACAAAGTTTAAGACCAGCCTAGGCAATTTAAATTTTTTGAAAAAAAGAGAGGGAGCTAGGAATATAACTCAATGGCAGTGTGCTTGCCTAACATTCAAGGGCCTGCGTTCAATCACCACTACCATCAAAAAAAGGGGTAAGAACTTTGCTGAGCATGGTGGCTCATACCTGTAATCCCAGCTACTTAGAGGGTGAGGCAGGAGAATCACAAGAGTGAGGCCAGCCTGGGCAACTTACTTGTTTTCTAGTGAATCTAGTGAACCTTGTGCCACACCAATCAAAATACTGATTTAAAAATACCAGAGACTCCCTTCTGCTGGTGGAAAAGCAAACCACATTGAGAGCTAACAAGTATTTCTTCCATGGAAATTCTTTTCAAGTTAAATTTGCTTTTTAAAAAAACTAACAAATAGGATTTGTATAATTCAGTTGCCAGAATTTTTTAATTTTGGGCAGTGTAGATATTTAATAGTAATTCATTGTGATTTTAATTTCATTTCCCTGATCACTAAATAGATCAAACATCTTGTTATGTTTATTGGCCATTACTTTTTCCTCTTCTAGAAAATGTCTTTTATGTGTTGCCCATTTATTGAATTATTTGTCTTAAGTTTTAGGACTTCTGGGTATGTATTCTAATTCTGTCTTGATAATTTTTGCAACTATATTCTATGAGTTTATGACTCATATTTACTTTTTTGGGTATCTTTTAATATTCAAAATTAATGTGTAATTACATATATGGTTGGTTTTTTGTGGGGTTTTTTTGTATTTTTCCTTTATAGTTAGAACTTGCTGTGACTTAACAAATCCTTCTCAGGGCTGGGCATATAGCTCAGTGGTGGAGTGCTTGCCTGGCAAACACAGGGCCCTGGTCTTGATCCCTGGCACTAGGAGGGGATGGGGGAGGAATCATTAGCTACCCTGGAAGTAATCATATATATGTGTTTTTGGAAGAGAATTAAATCCCTTAAATCTAATTGGAGTTGAGTGTGGTGGCGCACACTTGTAATCCCAGCACTCTGGAGACTGAGGCAGGAGGAGGATCACAAATTCAAGCCCAGCCTGCGCAGTTTAGCAAGACCGGACTCAGAATTTAAAGGGGGAGAGGGCTGGGGATGAAGCTCAGTATGAAGGCCCTGGGTTCAATCCCCACTACCACTAAACAAACAAGTAAAATAAAGGGTTTCTTCAATAAAATGTGTAGTTCTCTCCAGACGGGATTATGTATCTGTGGTATATTTATCTAGGAACTTTAATTTTTTCTTACATTTTTGGTTAGGTATTTAGATACACAGTTGACTTATATATTGATAATCTGTTTGGTGGCCATTCAAAACTAATTTTGAAAATTTGTATGAGGTTTTGCTGGTCCCCCACCCCCGTGTTTGTATGTCAGCACCTCTTGGCGTTTGTTTTCTTTTTCTTCTCTAACCCTTGTGTGCCCCCAGCTCCCTCTATCCTCTTCTCCTTCCCTCAGTGCCAGGGATTGAATCCAAGTCCTTCACGCTAAGCTGCACTCCCTGACCCTTTTATTTTTTTCTTTTGAGATGTGTTTTCCCTAAATTGCTCCACCTGGGCTTAAACAAAGTGTGATCCTCCTGGCTCAGTCTCCCAGAGTGTTGGGATCATGGGCGTGTACCACTGTGCCCACCTTAGCATTGAGCTACATCCCCACCACCCCTCTTTAATTTTTTAATTTGAGACACTTTCTTGCTAAGATTTCCAGGCATGATTCAGATTTGTCATCCTCCTTCTCCCTCAGCCTTCCAAGCACTGGGATTTAAGCACATGCCACCATGCCAGACTTTGTCTTGTTTTCTGCTAATAAGAACCTCCAATACAAATCGGAAAGTGATAACTTTTTTCTTGCATTAAGATGTTTTTGTTTGGTTTGGTTTTGGTACCGGGGATCAAACTTGGGTCCTTGCGCTTGTGCAGTCGGTGGAACCACTGAGCTAAATCCCCAGCCCTGCATTAATTAAAACCAGGGCCTCACACACGCTAAGTGCTTGACTACTGAGCTTTTTAAAAGCCCTTTTAAAATTTTGAAACAAGGTCTTACCTAATTACTCAGGCTGGCCTTGAATTTGCTGTCTTGCATCAGCCTCCCAAGTGGCTGTAATTACAGGCATCTGCTACCTTGCCCAGCAATATTTTTTGTCTTAATAATGATTTATACTGATGTTTTCATTTTCTGCTTTCTTTTTTAAAGATTTTTTATGTTGGTTTTCTTTTAATTCTTAATTTGCATGTGTTCTTAGCTCATTAATATCCAATATGTTTTCTCTTCTAATTCCAGTATGATTTCCAGTGTATGCTTGCATTTTTTGCTTAAGTTTGCTTTTAACCATTAGTTGGTCTTGTGGGCTGGGGATTTAGCTCAGTGGCACTTTGCCTGCCTTGCAAGACCAAGGTCCTGAGTTCAATCCCAGGTACCACAAAAAACCCCCCCAAAACCCATTAGTTGGTCTTGTATGATACCAGTTCTTGAAATTTTGTTTAGACTTGATTTATAGTCTTAAATTCTCTTTGTTTGATATTAATAGAAGTATACTGTCTTTTTTTTTTTTTTTCTGTCTTCTTTTTTTTCCTTTTTCTTTCAACCTTTTCTTCTTTCTCTACACTGGGGATTTATCCCAAGGTCTTTGTATTATGTCCCCAGCTCTGTTTATTTATTTTTTTGAGACAAGATCTTGCTAAATTCCCCAGGCTGAGTTTGAACTTGTGATAATCTGCCTCAGCTCCCCAGAGTGCTAGGATTACAGATATGTACCACCATACCCAGCTTGGCTTTAACTTTGTATGTGTAATAAATAGTTTATAACTTATGTTGTAAAAATACATACTGGTAGTTCTTTTTTGGCTATTTCAATCAGCTTAATGAAAATCTAAAATTGATAAATATTCTAAACAATACAGGTACTTAGAATCTTACTCATTTTTCTTGCTTGCATTACTCATATTTAAAAAATCAACTATTATGAGGTATAAATTACTTAGAATAAGATTATTTTAAGTGAATTCAGTGGGTTTTGTCAAATGCAACCAGCACCACAGTCATGCATACAGAGCATTTCCATTGCCTCAGAAAATTCCCTTGTGTTCCTTCGTAGTCAGTTTTTCCCATACAGTAAGTATCTCTCACTCCTGCTATCCACTAACTCTGTTCTTTGATTCTCTTTTCCAGAATGTCATTTATATGGTATCTATCATAAGTACAATACATTTGAATGTTGTGTCTCCATAGTTCTTTTTGGGGGGGGCGGCGACGGAAACAGAGATAGAACTCAGGACCTTGTGCTTGCCAGGCAGGCTCAGTGCCACTGAGCTAAATCCCCAACACTCCATAGTTCTTTATTACTGAGTCCATTGTATAGCTGTACAAATTTATAAATATATCAGACATTTGGGTTATTTCCATCTCCTCCTCTCCTCCCCCTCCTCTGTCCTCCCTCCTCTTTTTTTTTTTGAGATATTGTCTTCCTACATACATTCCAAGCTGGCCTTGAACTCATGATTCCCCTTCCTTAAGCTGCTAAGTGCTAGAATTACATGCATGTGCTACCGTGCCCAGCTGTGTTTCCACATTTGTGCTGTTGTAAATATTGCTTTTCTGTACAAGTCTTGTCCCTTGCTTTATTTATTCATTTATTTTTTGGTACCAGGGATCAGACTTATGACCAGGCAGGTGCTGTGCCACTGAGCTAAATCCCTGGCCCTATTTTTTTGTTTTTATTTTTAAATGTTTTATTTTTGAGGAACTGAGGATTGAACCTACATCATCTTTTACATTGGGCTAGCTTCCCAGCCCTTTTTATTTTTTATTATGAGTCAGGATCTTGCAAAGTTGCCAGGCTGGGCTCAAACTTGTGACCCTCCTGCCTCAGCCTCCCAGTGTGCTGGGATTGTAGACATGCGCCAACAGGCCCGTCTGAATCCCATGTTTTAACTTTTTAAAAAATTTAGTTGCTTTCATTTATTTTCAGTATATACATGGAAGTGGAATTGCTGGATCATCTGATAGTTCTATGGATAATATTTTGAAAAATACCTCATTTTTAAAGGGCAGTTTAGTTATGTTAGCAGTTCTTCTCAATACTTTGATGCTATGGTCCTCTGACTTTCCCTGTTGCTTTTGTGAAATTTATTGGTCTGTTATCATTCTTCAAGTAGTTTTGCTTTTCTCTTAGTCTACTTTTAAATTTTTTCTTTCTTTTTTTCTGTACTATATGTTTATATGTGGATTTCTTTTACCTGGTTGAAATTTATTGAACTTGTGTTTATCTTCCAAGCTCTTAATTCTCTTTTCAGAGCTGATCTCCTTCTTAACCATACTGTGGACCTTAGGGATACTGAATTGAGTATTGGATTATTTCTTGGTTCATTCCACTTATTTTCTCTTTCGGATTTCAGAATTTGTAGTTACACAATAGACTTCAGCTATAAAGAATACAATGCTGTTGTATATCTATAAATGAAGTCCAAGAATCTGAGAATCCCTTGTGTCTCCTTGTAGTCAGTTTCTCTCATAGTAATTTCATCTAAATGTTGATTTCTTCTGGGTTCTATTCTATCTGCAAAGCTCTTTAATTAATTTTGAGTATGATTTTTTTTAACTCCCGCCAAACTGAAATTGGTGTGGTTAGTGGTTTAGTAATGAGTCATATAACAATTCTTTGTTCTTGGATTATGCCCATGATGTAGTGAGTAACTTTGTGACCCTCTTACTGTTTTCTTTCTAGGTATGACACACCAACTTCTAAAAAGAAGGTACGAATTAAAGACCGCAATAAACTCTCTACAGAGGAACGCCGAAAGTTGTTTGAGCAAGAAGTGGCTCAGCGGGAGGCTCAGAAACAGCAGCAGCAGCTG